TGCAGGCGGTAGAGGAGGAGGCAGCATCTGCAAAGAAAGAGAAAACCCATTTTACAGTCAAACTGACAGAATTCAAGGCGGCTGATAAAGTGAAACTGATTAAAGAAGTGAAGAATTGCATGGAGGGCTTGAATCTTGTACAGGTAAGGTGTTTTTAGTAATATGAGGATTTTTTTATAGGCTGCAGTGGCATGAATCAGTTAGTTGTCTGTGTAGTTTGTTCCCTATCTGTCAAATATCAGCAGACAGCAATGCAGCTCACAAGCTTTGCAACCCATTCATGTGACTTACTGCTGTTTTTCTTGTCTAAAAGGGTTGTAATGTTCTTCATTAATGGTTTTCCCTCCCAATTGCAGGCCAAGAAGCTTGTGGAGTCTCTACCTCAGGAGATCCGGGTGAATGTGTTTAAAGATGAAGCAGGAAAACTGAAAGCAGCACTTGAAGCAGCAGGAGGCACTGTGGTGCTGGAGTGAATATCTGCGCCGGCCCTTCACTTGATTAGTTGTTACCTGTCAGTTATCGTTTTGTTCTGTTTTTTTACAAAAAAGATAAAAGGAATCTGAAGAAAACTAATGATGCCTTTAAAATGACCACTTGGTCCACAGGAGATGGTCTGGGTGTTGAACTCACAGACTGAACTCTGACAGGCTCGGAGCCTGCAAACACACCACCCATCACCGACTCCTCCATCTGTCCTTTAGCTACACATGAAACTGGAGCTGGCCTGACAAAGGGATGTGATGCTATTGCTTGTGGTTAAATAAACATGATATACTGTACTGTGTATCGTAATGCATCATCATGAGCAATAATCAATACATTATAAAATACAATTTTTGCCAGAAGTGAATAATTGGTGATTACTGCACACTGACTGATCTCAGTTACCTTTAAAGGGATATTTCTACTTCTTGTGGCGGGAGGACCAAAGGACAGACACAGTGGGTGTGGCGTTTGTGCTCATGCTTTGCATCGTCTCACACGTAGCGCTTTTCTAAAATGCGGCACTCAAGTTAAAAAATAAGCTTAACTTTCAAATAACATGTCTCCAGATATTTTTTTCTTTTTCCGATTTCACTGCTCACATCTCATGTTTTTCGACACTAAAACACCCATTCTGTGAGAATGACCCCTGAACATTCTGCTAAACGTCTCAGAATAAAATACAGGTTAGAGACAACATGACCGTGAATGAATGAAGCCAATTTTCGTTTTCGAATGAACTATCCAGTTAAGCATGTGATAATGTGTCAAGCATTTTTCTCAGTTTTAGTAGTGGTGAAAAACGTGTGTGTCTGAATTTCAGTTAACTGTGCTGCCTAAATCAGAGAAATTTGCCTGACCTCGAAATATATTGAAAACATATTCTCTACATCAAGAACTAATATTAAAAAAGATGATGAATGTCTTGTTAGGTGTGTCATATGAGGGGCTACAGAGGAGTTTATGTCACTGAGACAATAATATCCTCCCAGCTGTAAACAGTAAATACCAAGACTCTACCTAATTGCTAAATTTAGATATTCACATTTCTTAATAATTAAGAAAAAAGTGACAATACTGTCATCTTCAAGAAATGGCTAAAAACATCTCTTCTATCTAAACTTGATCTTCTAACACTAGCACCCTCTATTCTATTTCTATTTTATCTACTTGTTTTCTTTTTATTTAGTTAAAAAAAACTTGACCCTTTAACACTGGCACTCTCTATTCAATTTCTATTCTAACTACTTTACTTTTTATTTTTTTTAAATGACCCTCACTAGCATTCTCTATTCATTTTTCTATTTTATCTACTTGTCTTTTTTTATTTATTAAAAAATAAAACCTTGCTATGTGTACTGTGTTAGACTAACCAAGATGTGTGACAGCACTTACATATTATTGCTCTTTTAATGGTTGGGATTGCTTCTATTGTCCTCATTTGTAAATCGCTTTGGATAAAAGCATCTGCTAAATGACTAAATGTAAATGTAGTCTAAAGGCTGGAATACACTACACAACCTTTGTCCAGATTTTTGCCACAGCTTACAGTCTTTAGAAGGTGACAGGTGCTGACAAACTGAGTCAGTCTGCAGATTTTGGGCTGTCAGACTTCACCGATTATGCAGCAAATCGTGTGATGTATGATGGACAGAGACTAATTTTTTCGCTTCAGACTATGGCTCCATCCAATCGGGTGATATTAAACATGTTTGATATTTTGAGTCGATTTTAGAAATGTTGTTTTCATTTGTCACATGTCTTAGGAATTCAACAGGAGACAAACCTGTTTTACACGTCACTCAAACAGAGAAGCGGGCAACTATTTCAAATCATCAATTAAGGGAAACTTAAGTACTGAGCTCAACTTAAGTTGAGCTGTTGTGTGTTTGTGTCTCTCTCTCTCTCTCTTCATACAGTAAAATGGCAGAAGCCAGAGTTTCTGAGGATGAGTTCATGTGTCCAATGTGTCTGGATCTCCTGAAGGATCCAGTGGCCATTCCCTGTGGACAACTGTGTATCGTAATGCATCATCATGAGCAATAATCAATACATTATAAAATACAATTTTTGCCAGAAGTGAATAATTGGTGATTACTGCACACTGACTGATCTCAGTTACCTTTAAAGGGATATTTCTACTTCTTGTGGCGGGAGGACCAAAGGACAGACACAGTGGGTGTGGCGTTTGTGCTCATGCTTTGCATCGTCTCACACGTAGCGCTTTTCTAAAATGCGGCACTCAAGTTAAAAAATAAGCTTAACTTTCAAATAACATGTCTCCAGATATTTTTTTCTTTTTCCGATTTCACTGCTCACATCTCATGTTTTTCGACACTAAAACACCCATTCTGTGAGAATGACCCCTGAACATTCTGCTAAACGTCTCAGAATAAAATACAGGTTAGAGACAACATGACCGTGAATGAATGAAGCCAATTTTCGTTTTCGAATGAACTATCCAGTTAAGCATGTGATAATGTGTCAAGCATTTTTCTCAGTTTTAGTAGTGGTGAAAAACGTGTGTGTCTGAATTTCAGTTAACTGTGCTGCCTAAATCAGAGAAATTTGCCTGACCTCGAAATATATTGAAAACATATTCTCTACATCAAGAACTAATATTAAAAAAGATGATGAATGTCTTGTTAGGTGTGTCATATGAGGGGCTACAGAGGAGTTTATGTCACTGAGACAATAATATCCTCCCAGCTGTAAACAGTAAATACCAAGACTCTACCTAATTGCTAAATTTAGATATTCACATTTCTTAATAATTAAGAAAAAAGTGACAATACTGTCATCTTCAAGAAATGGCTAAAAACATCTCTTCTATCTAAACTTGATCTTCTAACACTAGCACCCTCTATTCTATTTCTATTTTATCTACTTGTTTTCTTTTTATTTAGTTAAAAAAAACTTGACCCTTTAACACTGGCACTCTCTATTCAATTTCTATTCTAACTACTTTACTTTTTATTTTTTTTAAATGACCCTCACTAGCATTCTCTATTCATTTTTCTATTTTATCTACTTGTCTTTTTTTATTTATTAAAAAATAAAACCTTGCTATGTGTACTGTGTTAGACTAACCAAGATGTGTGACAGCACTTACATATTATTGCTCTTTTAATGGTTGGGATTGCTTCTATTGTCCTCATTTGTAAATCGCTTTGGATAAAAGCATCTGCTAAATGACTAAATGTAAATGTAGTCTAAAGGCTGGAATACACTACACAACCTTTGTCCAGATTTTTGCCACAGCTTACAGTCTTTAGAAGGTGACAGGTGCTGACAAACTGAGTCAGTCTGCAGATTTTGGGCTGTCAGACTTCACCGATTATGCAGCAAATCGTGTGATGTATGATGGACAGAGACTAATTTTTTCGCTTCAGACTATGGCTCCATCCAATCGGGTGATATTAAACATGTTTGATATTTTGAGTCGATTTTAGAAATGTTGTTTTCATTTGTCACATGTCTTAGGAATTCAACAGGAGACAAACCTGTTTTACACGTCACTCAAACAGAGAAGCGGGCAACTATTTCAAATCATCAATTAAGGGAAACTTAAGTACTGAGCTCAACTTAAGTTGAGCTGTTGTGTGTTTGTGTCTCTCTCTCTCTCTCTTCATACAGTAAAATGGCAGAAGCCAGAGTTTCTGAGGATGAGTTCATGTGTCCAATGTGTCTGGATCTCCTGAAGGATCCAGTGGCCATTCCCTGTGGACACAGTTACTGTAAGAGCTGTATTACAGGCTGTGTGTCAGGAATCTTACTGTGAAACTCACTTTGACAGTCACGAGGAGTTTCACTCTTGTAAGCCACACAAGGTGATTGATGCCACTGGACAACTGAAGGACATGATCTTCTGTAAACATGATAAAGAGCTGGAAATGTACTGTATCACTGACCAACATAACAGGAGTGGTGGTAAAATGATATATATTATCAGTGTACACTTCCCGATAAACCACTCAATTCAATTCCATTCAATTCAAATTTATTTGCATAGTGCATTTTACAATACACGTCGTTTCAAAGCAGCTTTACAGAAAATGCATGCGTCTACATTACAATTTAGAGTGATCTGCTTTCAGGAGTAAATTTGTCCAAGTAATGTTCATTTCACAAATGAACAGTTCAAGGTAATAGAATCATCGAGTTTGCTAACATGAATTAGTTTTAGGCAGAAGCTCATTAAAGTGATTATTACAAGTGTAATCATAATGATTACAATATAGAGAAATAGGTAATCTGAAGTCTTTCTGAGGCTGGATCCATGCAAACCATAACCAGTGCACCAATGCATTTTCAGATATAAACGTTTCACATGAAAACACACCACAAATGTCAAAGGGAAAGTGCAACCTACATAGAACAGATGTGATCTTTTATCTTTCAAGGGATGAAGGTGTCTTTAATTTCCACTCACAGAACATCATCATGACTAAATGGGAAAAAATGCAAAAATATATATTTTCATACAGTATGAATCATTCACAATAAGACCAGTAATATGCAATAAGAAAACAAATATAGGGAATTTTGAAAATGAGGATTTTCCACCATTTGTAGTCTCGCAGGGATGCTGGAGCCGCAGTGTTATGGTCAGCAGGGACTCAAACCAGGGACCTTGATGTGAGTGATAGTTCTACCCACAGTTATGCAGAATGCTTATACTTTGACAGTGCTATACCAGCTCTCTTCAGGCGCTTCAGTTGCTCTCTCAATTCATTCCTCTTCCTTTCAACATCAGAATCTTCTTGGAGCAGCATTCCTGGATCGTTCTCTCTAGTCATGACAAGCATTTCACTCTGAAGCTGAGAGATGTACTTGTTCAGCATGTGATACTGGACTATCAGTGGAACTTGATTAGCCAGACGGTCAGAGGTAATCTACGAATACATACAAATTACATTCAAATTCAAAAAGGCAATATTTGTCACAAGACTTTGCAACAGAAATGGCCTTGTGCATGTAAAATATGGACTAAGATTTATTCTATAAAGGTGATGTGTTTATTTTTTCTAAGTTTTTTTCCCCCCTTTTATCCCACAGTTTGCAGAGAAATGATTGTATGGAGTATTTGAAATTTAGAAAATCTTTATTAGTGCAATTCTGTTAGGTGCCGCAAGTGGCACAGAGACTGCACACAGAACAAAGATTACTTATAAGGCATACAAACCGTTAAATAGGAGATGAGACGGTATGCCATGTCACGTACATCTTCTTTGACAAATGATGCCAGAAGCCCTTGACCTGATTTTGATTTTTGTTTTACAATGCATAGCTGGTTACTGTAGAGATCATCTTGGGAGTAAACAATCTTCTCCATCTTAAACTGTGAACGTATTTTCTTCTCAGCTTTTTGAAACTGCTTATCAAGAAAATAATCAATTTGCTCTTTCGCAGCTCTCACGAGGTGAGATAAGGCATTAAAATGAGTGTTAACGATATGGTCCACAGAGGAGCGAACAATGTCTGTAAATGTAAAAAAAAAAAAAAGACAAGAAAACAGGAGTCAATCAGAGGAGGTAAAACATCATCCTATACGCATAATTGCCACTAACTTTATGCATTCATGTGATTATATCAATCGTTTTGAAATGAAGTTATTTTCTTGTACATTAGTACAAAAATAAAAGTTGAGGGCACTGAAAACCATCTTGAAACACAGCCCTTCACCTGTGACATCTTTGAGCAGCTTTAAAGCAGGTTCCTCTAGCTCCTCAATGTATTCCTTGATAATGCTCTCAAAAGTTTTATAGTTTAAAAATCCAGGAAGCTCCATTCCTCTATTAGTCCTCATATCCTCTTCTACCTCAACTCTGAGGATGTCCTCCGCTTGAGAGAAAAGACAGACAAAATCAGGAAGAATACAACCACTGGCTTATTAGACTCCCCTGCAGCATGAAAGTTAAATGCAAACTGCATATGCCTTAAAGAGAAAGGACAAAATTCGGAAAAAAGTAATTAAAGAAAAGGCTGAATTGCACAAAACAAGCATCAATAATAGTATTTCATCCCAGATAGAAACGCTTGTATCTGTGAGTTCATTTTATTGTAAACTCACTCTTAATGGCTTTGGCATTCAGGACGGATTTCCAATTTTGAAATTCCCCCCTGATTTTGGAGAAGACCCTTGTGTTTGGTTTTTTTACATCCTCTTCTGCATTCTTTACTCTTTCAAGGGCATCATTGAACTGGCGGATTTTCTGCAGAGCACAAAATCTCATAACGTTACACATGTAAAAACAAAGCCAGATAACAATATTGCTGGGGTGGGCAAATGCAATTTTTATGTTTAGCAAAACGTTGCTTCAGTGCAAACTGAAAGATAAGAAAGGGCAATATATATATTGCATGTATGTTGTTTTCATGCTGTATATGTACTGTACAATAGACTTTATTCAAGTGGTCAAAATGCAAAAAGAAAAACTCGATAGTGTAAAAACATCTATACACAGTATATCTTAGGGTGAAATCGGTAGGTATAGTAACCAGTAACAATGATTTGAAACAAATATAATGTAATTTCATAGAAAACTTGAAGTCCAGCTGGGCTGCACCAGTGAGATTACAATTATGGAAAATAATATTTTAGAAGTTTAGGACACTTTAGCATACACCAAATGTGTGACCCCATTTTACCGTAACCAGAAATTTGATCTTCTCGTGTTCATCAAGAGGAACTCCATCACCCAGTGCTCTAAGATCCACAGACGTCTTCTGTAATTTCATGTCAAGTTGTTTCTGCAACTCTGGCAGTGTTTTCTAAAAGTACAGAAATAAGATGTACCCAAATCTGACTTTAGTTTACTCCAGACTTCTTTTCTTTAAGTCATATCCCTGTTGAAAACCAGGATATGCTGGTTAGGTATGTTTTGAAGCATGGAAGCTGGTTTGAGTTGGTTTAAGATGGCCATGTGCTGGTCCTAAGCTCAAATCAGCTGTCATGCTTCAAAACATACCTAACAGCATATGCTGTTTTCAACAGGGAAACTGTACTTTGTCAATGTTTCTGCTGTATGTCATGTAACTTTGCATACGCACAATGATGTGTTCAAACAATTCGTTTGTGAGTCTTTCTGCAAGAAAGGGTATTGTTGCTTTTCCTTCTTCAAGAAAAGACCTGTAAGGAAAGAAGTCATTTGAATAGTAAGAAGGAAGTTGAGGACAACTGGAGAATTTAGCATACTTTTTATCTGTAAATATTATAAATATTAACAAGAAAAGACATTTTTAAATACTCACAATGTCCCTAAGACCTGACAGATTGCAAGGGGCCATTCACACAGAACGTGTTTTTGCTTTGAAAACCATGAGACGCTATGTAAACACACACTAGACAGAAGTGTTTGACAATTGCGCTCACGTCTTACGCATGACACAGTGTTCTAGAAATGAGTCACTCAAGGTAAAAGTAGTTTGACTTTTAAAAAAGTCAAAGTCGTTTTTTCCCTATTCCACTGGAACCGTCTAGTGCGTGTTTACATAGAAAACAATGGGAAAGTAGCACAGTGCAATGGTAAATCAAGTTCTGTGTGAACAGCGCCTAATAGGTGTCATAGTGCCCTAAACACTGCAAACTGCAAATATAAAGTCCACCTCTGAGGATGCACCTCAACAAGAGTGTGTTGTTGCCAATCATTTTAATTTCCTGCCACAACGTTTCCCTGGGGTATTAATTTTCCCTGACTTTAGACTAGTTTCAGACTGCATATGGAGAAGAGCTGAAAACATGTGCTATCCTAAAATAATAAAAAAAATAGATTAAAAAAATGTCAGATGATTGACCAATCATGATGTGTTCAAACAATTCGTTTGTGAGTCTTTCTGCAAGAAAGGGTATTGTTGCTTTTCCTTCTTCAAGAAAAGACCTGTAAGGAAAGAAGTCATTTGAATAGTAAGAAGGAAGTTGAGGACAACTGGAGAATTTAGCATACTTTTTATCTGTAAATATTATAAATATTAACAAGAAAAGACATTTTTAAATACTCACTATGTCCCTAAGACCTGACAGATTGCAAGGGGCCATTCACACAGAACGTGTTTTTGCTTTGAAAACCATGAGACGCTATGTAAACACACACTAGACAGAAGTGTTTGACAATTGCGCTCACGTCTTACGCATGACACAGTGTTCTAGAAATGAGTCACTCAAGGTAAAAGTAGTTTGACTTTTAAAAAAGTCAAAGTCGTTTTTTCCCTATTCCACTGGAACCGTCTAGTGCGTGTTTACATAGAAAACAATGGGAAAGTAGCACAGTGCAATGGTAAATCAAGTTCTGTGTGAACAGCGCCTAATAGGTGTCATAGTGCCCTAAACACTGCAAACTGCAAATATAAAGTCCACCTCTGAGGATGCACCTCAACAAGAGTGTGTTGTTGCCAATCATTTTAATTTCCTGCCACAACGTTTCCCTGGGGTATTAATTTTCCCTGACTTTAGACTAGTTTCAGACTGCATATGGAGAAGAGCTGAAAACATGTGCTATCCTAAAATAATAAAAAAAAATAGATTAAAAAAATGTCAGATGATTGACCAATCTCATTAGATTATATCTCATGAACATCCTGCCTACATGCTGTATTTAACCCTATCATTTTTCTAGACATATAGACATGAAATGATTTGTGCTACACATTCTAAGAGAAATTCTTATTATCAGATTCACGTCTTGCCTGAAATGAGCATGTTCATCAAAAAAATGTCTTTCTTTTTCCAGAGCTCTGGCCAGATCAAGTTTGTCATTGATTTCATTCTGGCCTCGGCATTTAACAATCATGTAGCCCTTCTTCAGTGGTATTACTTCATTATTCACTGTTCTGACCACCGTCTCCTCCATGCATTTGTCCACTAAGTCCGGTTTTGTCAGAATACCTGCAGATTAAATATTTGTCTAAATTTCAAAACATGACAAATATATTTGACAATAATTCACTTATTCAGTGAGTAACCTATAAGAAATGTTACGAACCCAAAGTCCTTTCTCCGGTTGAATCCACTTTGGATGCCATCTGCAGTGCCTCAGTGGTGGCGATGTCAATGTTTGCTGGCACCACAACCAAACTGATGGTCTCTTGCCTTTGAATGAACTTTTCAATTAGATCTTTTATCTGTTACGGAAAACCAAAATTACTGAATGCAATACTGCAAAGATCAATGGGGCTAAAGTAGTATCTATACAAAATATTTGAATGCTGTAAACATTTCCATACACAAATTGCATCTTACTTGTTTGTCAATGTCTTTTGGCTGGTTGGCAGTGGCAACTCTAGCAATGCCTGGCAGGTCAATGAGAGTAAGATCAGGAACGTCACATGACTGGATTTCCAGAGTGATCATCTCATGACTGATCCCTTCTCCGTTTCCAGCCAATACTCCCTGAGCTACAAAACAATATATGGACATCATCCCACAGATTAAATATTCTAAAGACTCACATGGCATTAAAATTCTCAATGAACTGTATATTAATATACTTTAATGTGGAATAATACAGATCATATAAGACAATGGTAGCACTATTTTAACTGTTCATTCTTGGCTAAAGGAAAACACAATTAAATTTTTTATAATATAAATGTTCCAGGACAACTACAAGATTTTCCAGGACATTTTACATTTTTTCTCATTTTCCAATTTTGCAGGTTTTCCAGGATGAGTGGGAACCCTGAATACTGTCCCAGGTCTTAAAAACACCAAAGCGCAGTGCCCTTAACACACACTAAATCCACTTTAAGGGGTATTCAAAACTAAACCCATCCCATTATGCATCATGTTCAGGAACTCCCAAAATTGCGAGATGTCAAGGAAAACATTCCACTGTAAGTTAAATTAATTCGATATTACATATTATTTGGCAGTAAAACATAAAGTGGTGCTTTTACATTGTACATTTTATTGGTGCAAAGATGGGTATATGTATTTGGATCATGTACAACTGCTTTTTATCACTTAATTAGTGATAAAAAGGGGCAGTCGTGGCCTAATGGTTAGAGAGTCGGACTTGTAACCCAAAGGTCGGACTTGTTAAAGGTTTTTTTTTACTAATATGTTACATAACATCTTAAGAAGCCATTCTGAAATTAAACTAAATAGGCATAGTTGAAAAAGTCAAATGTATAATTAATAGCAGACAGCAGTATGGGATTATGCTCTTCTAAATGTCATATTACACGTATAAACGGTGTGGCCGGCGGATTCGACGAAGGAGCGTCCGGCGGGCTTGCGGCAACCACATGTGACGACCCCGGGCTGTACTCCGCTTCGTCCACGAAACAGCATCTCCACAACATGGCGTCGGCGGCAACAACAATACTACAGCGAGAATAAAAGTTATGCCTTCTTTCTTTGCGTGAACATTTGGGCGGCATTATGCAAATCTTCCCACACAGTGTGGGGGCGTGTTTAAACAAGCCGTTTTAGGAGGGCGTGGACAAGTCTTAACTTTTATAAAGAATATATTTTTAGATTTGAGACTTTAGTCTTTGCAACTTTACAGATCTTCTTTATGCACCAAGAGCTTGTAACACTCCAAAGAGAAAGGAAAAATTGAAATCGCATCATATGACCCCTTTAATAAAAACTGTTGCAGATCTCATGTCATTGTAAGTTTAACATTTCTTCACAGTTAGTTTCGATTTACTCCATCTGCCCCACGTGATTTCGGAAACATTGTATTTTGTAGCCTACAAGTCAGGGCCTGAGTGGGACCCATTTTCAGCCAGGGAGTTTACAGTAGTACTTTATGGAATGTAAAATAAAAGTGACAGAATTGCTGCAGTAAAGGCTTTATTGGCAAAATGAAATTGCTGTCAGTGATCATAAAATTTTTTTTAAAAAAAACTTCAAACCCTTTGCCTTTTGCCCTCTACTTCTCCTTCCCCCTTGTCAAAAAGTCAGAAAGAGCTTTATTACCAAGTATGTTTTTTTTACACACACAAGAAATTTGACTTGGTGACAGGAGCTTCCAGTGCAGAAGAAAGTATGGACATAGTGCAAACATACATGATAGTGCAGACATACACAGGAATTATACATAGGAACACTACTGTAATATAACACTTACATAAGAAAAACAGAAAATTAAATAATGCACTATATACTGAAGTAGAAATATAGAGGAAAAAACATGTAATTGTTTAAATGAATGTACAGATATGTTATTTACAAATGTGCCGTTCACAAATGAACAATTTTCAGTTTTCTATGTATAAATGTGTCAGCTATGATGGACAATGTTTTGTTATGAATGTTTTAATTGTTTAGGCTGAAGATAGCCTGCGGGAAGAAACTGTGGCACGGACCAGAACGCAACAGTTGGGAGAGTGGGTTGGGTGTGTGGGGTCCAAAAAGCTGTTTTCTTAGCCCTTTTCCACACTCTGGAGGTATAAAGATCTTGGAGGTTGTTGGGCAGGGGGGCACCAATAATCCTCTCAGCAGTCTTGACTGTCCGCTGTAGTCTCTTGATGTCTGATTTGGTATCAGATCATTTAAATATTTAGAAATAACTGATTCCAGTCTCAGTTGGAGGAATAGTCAGGTGTTGATGCTCTTTCCATTATATCAACATAGAGTAAAAAAGACCTCTTTGAATTGGTTTTGTTGATGCAGAACAACACAAAGAATCAGAGAGAGAAAAAATTATGCCTGGGAGAAGGAGAGGAATAGTTGTAGTAGGGAGAGGAGTAGTTGGATCAGAAAAAAAAGGAGAAGAAGAGGTAGGGGAGAGGAGTAAGCTGGACTATGCATTTTTTTTTGTTTGTTTGTTTTCCCCCTTACACTTGTGGAACCTATTGAAGCTTATTTCTGCCATGGAATATAAAGGGTAAAGGGTTAAATGTGACTTTTTTTCTTGCAATTGTGAATTTACAGTATCTCACAATTATGATAAAGTCTGAATTGCAAGATTTAAACTCGCAATTCAAAGAACAGAAGTCCAAATTGTGAGATAAAAAGGTCACAATTACCGTTTTTCACTTTTTTATTCTGTGTGGAAACAAGCTTGCATAGTAACCAAAGGCCATGTATGAATTTTTGTTGATCACTGGCATCAGCAATCATCCACATTCAACCCCAACCCACTGGAAAGCAATTTAAATCAAGGTTCCAATTGAATATCTGCATTGGGGACCCTATTTATTTCTATTGTACATTCTATAAAGTAATGACACATTCAGTTTTAGACAGTATGTTGCCAAGAATGAACACATTCAACACTTAAAAATGTAAAATAGGTTTCAGTTGAAGGTAACTAAATTACAAAAAACAATGGATGTTTATATTGTCTGTATGCAGGTAGAACTGAAACATGACAGGTAATTCAGTTTTTGTAAAGTCATCAGCTGTTGGTATTTTGACAGTCACTGTGCTATGATTGACTATACAGTATGTTCCTGTTGGATAGAAAAGTAGTGCTAATGTTTTGACCGAATAACTCGATTTTGAATCGGGTTTGCTGTGTTTTGATAGAGCTATTATATGTAGAAAAGGGTATTCAGCATTTTGAAATGTAGAGTTTGTATTTATTTAACAAAATCTGTAATGCAGAGCACACGTCACTTCACCTTCTCTTTAGAGTAAAAAATATATCTTTGAATCGATTTTGTTGATGCAGAACAACACAAAGAATCAGAGAGGGAAAAAATAATGCCTGGGAGAGGAAGAGGAATAGTTGGATCAGAAAAAGGGAGAAGAAGAGGGAGGGGAGAGGACTAAGCTGGACTATGCATTTTTATGTGTGTTTGTTTTTTTTCCCCTTACACATGTGGAACCTATGAAAGCCTATTTCTGCCGTGGAATATAAAAGGTAAAGGGTAATTGTGACTTTTTTTCTTGCAATTGTGAATTTAATAATGATAATTTAATCTGATAAAGTCTGAATTGCAGGATGTAAACTCGCAATTCCATGAACAGAAGTCCAAATTGTGAGATAAAAAGGTCACAATTATCGTTTTTACTTTTTTATTCTGTGACGGAAACAAGCTTGCATAGTAACCAAAGGCCATGTATGTTGGAATTTTTGTTGATCACTGGCATCAGCTACCATGGGAGCACCATCCACATCCAGCCCCCCACTCACTGGAGAGCAATTTCAATCAAGGTTACAAATGCATTTCTGCAAAAGGGACCCTATTTTTTTTCTGTTGTACGTTCTATAAAGTAATGACTCATTCAGATTTAGACAGTATGTTGCCAAGAATGAACATATTCAACACTTAAAAATGTAAAATGGGTTTCAGTTGAAGGTTACTAAATTACAAAAAAAAATAAAAAAAGGATTTTTATATTGTCTGTATGCAGGTAAAACTGAAACATGACAGGTAATTCTGTTTTTGTAAAGTCATCAACTGTTAGTATTTTGACTGTGCTATGATTGACTATATGTTCCTGTTGGATAGAAAAGAAAGGCTAATGTCTTGACCGAATGACTCAATTTTGAATCAAGTTTGCTGTGTTTTGATAGAGTTAATATATGTAGAAAAGGGTATTCAGCATTTTGAAATGTAGAGTTTGTATTTATTTAACAAAATTTGGTTTTGACCAGAAAATTACCTATTTGGCTAATTGTGTGATGTAGGTGTGTTGCTGTTTTAAGAGTTTAGAAAAAGTACTTTCAACACTTAAAAATGTAAAATAGGTTTCAGTTGAAGGTAACTCAATTACAAAAAACAATGGATGTTTATATTGTCTGTATGCAGGTAGAACTGAAACATGACAGGTAATTCAGTTTTTGTAAAGTCATCAGCTGTTGGTATTTTGACAGTCACTGTGCTATGATTGACTATACAGTATGTTCCTGTTGGATAGAAAAGTAGTGCTAATGTTTTGACCGAATGACTCGATTTTGAATCGGGTTTGCTGTGTTTTGATAGAGCTATTATATGTAGAAAAGGGTATTCAGCATTTTGAAATGTAGAGTTTGTATTTATTTAACAAAATTTGGTTTTGACCAGAAAATTACCTATTTGGCTAATTGTGTGATGTAGGTGTGTTGCTGTGTTAAGAGTTTAGAAAAAGTACTTTAAGTACTGGTAAACGCTTGTTAGCAATTGAAAAAAACTGTAATCGCCGATGCTAAAATGCCCTATAGGTCCGATCTAGGTGCCCCCGGACCGCGGATGCGCTCTCATAACGCCACTTCTCCCCTGCCCCTCCGGAGGTCTGTGCAGCATGCCACTGCTAGTATAGTAGCCTATAGTGTGGCAGTGGCTCAACCTTTTTGACTCCAAGGCCTCCCACAATTCCTACAACACAAAATTTGTGTATAAAATTAATTTTTTTTAAATGATTTTATTAATTTACACGACTTTTTCAGGTCTAGAAATAACACTTTTAAAACTACGCTACCTCATATATGCAGGTTTTTCAAGATGGTTATTGATGG